AATAACAATATCAATTAACCTCTACAAATTAACACCGAATTTTAAGTTTACAAATTATTTTAATTAAATTTTCTAAAAAATGAAAACAATTTCTTGTAAAAATTCATTATTCATTGAAAAAAGTTTTTTCTTATGATAATAGTTTTCAAAATATATATTATGTCTGCAAGCAATTAATAGCTTTCCTAATTAAATAACTACTAGCAGCATGGTCCGGCGTTGCACCCTGTACTTACCATAGCAGACAGCTGACATTTCTAGGGCACATAATGAGGAAAAAGGGCTTGGAAAATATGATACTCACAGGGCTGATTGAAGGCAAGATGGACAGAGGAAAGCAACGCATGATATACTTAGTGAGCTTGAGTAAATCGATGGCGGAACAGGGTTTAGGAGAGTTGACAAAACGACAAAATTTATTAAGGATAGGAAATTGTGGAGAGCCAAAAGCACCCACGTTTCGAGGGGACACAACACAGAAAGAAGAGAAACATAAAATGCCGGTAATGTCTTACTGTAAACATAGTTTGCTTACTATTTGGTATGTGCTAGTTACTGATTATTTAAAATTAGCAGCATGGCGCGGCGTTGCCCGTGCTTGATTCAAAAATCGTACGACTCATATAGCAACCGCTATCACTTGACTTAAAATATTTTTGCCCTTCCTTGCCTTTAAAGGAGTGCCCTTTTCCGTGCTGATGTTGCTACATGCCTTACTTCTTGCCTATCTCACACTGCAAATTTTTTCTAAGCTCTATACTAAACATTAAATCTGTTACGAAAAAAGAACTAAACAAAATGAACACAAAACGATCAGCTTTAAAAAAGGACTCGTAATTGGAAAAAAAGAATGTTAACAACAAATACTTTTTCACACCCAACCCAGTTCTGCGGAATCAGAATCAACGTTGAGTTTAAGCAAGCGAATGAGCCAATTGGAGTAAAGTGCCATGCAGATTTAAATTTTTCCCATTTGTGACGAATGCAGCTATCGATTTTTTTTGCATGCTAGCATGTTAGTTTACATTCGTGTCAGTCAGCTGTTGGCTCTCACGCTGGCCAATAGAATCTTCCTGCCTATTCGTGGCAGCCAGCTATAGGCTCTCACTCTGGCCAGTAGAAAATGGCCGCAAACTACATGAAAACTGCCGTAGAAGCATGAAAAAATCGATTATTTCCACTATCGATGGGAGTTGGGAAATGCAAAGTCGGTCTTGGCCTTCTCCGCTAACTTGGAGCATGTGCATGTAAATTTCGGTGCAAATCCGTCGAACATTGCGGCCGTGCATTCGTTACACACAGACACACACACACACACACACACATCCTGCCTTTTATAGATAGAGATAAAATGAACTAAGTGTTTCAGCATATTTTACAAGTCTTGAAATGTACTTCATGTTAAAGCACCTATTCCATATGACTTTAAACGTCTGTCAAGTTTTACTAACGTTAGATTTTATGCCATGAGCTGCAATGACTAGATGTGGCAGGTGGTGTAATGGTTAAAAGCTCGAAACGAGAAATTGTCGAGCCGAGTTCGAATTCTGGTCGGGATCGCCGCATTCACTTTCGCACAAATACTATTGAGAAAGGTATGAAAAATCCACCTCTTACTCCCTCCCCTCAGTTATGGGTTAAATAGCAGGACAAAGTGGACTCTATAACTATGGCTGCCAACTATTATAGAAGGACAACTCTGAATTTAAAACTGTGACCGTGGGGGAGCACGTACTTGACTGTAACTAAGGTCAGCTCAGTATAAACCCCAGGTTGGCTCTGTGAGTGCTGAAGAAATATAAAATGACCTGGGCAGCCGGGAATGTCCACAAACGATCAGCCATACTGAAGATAAACCACATTGATTTGCAGTCGAAACATCTCTGATGTTAAATGCAATTTAAAGTCTTTCGTAATTGTGAGTCATTTTCATTTTAAGTGTTAGCCTTTTTTTTGTTTTAAATTTTTTTTCCTTGTTTTTATTTTCATAACTTTTCGGCCAATCCATTCTCTGGCCTTCTTCAGGTAGTACAATCTGTGAGATGTGACAATGGGGTAGTAAAGACGCCGATTATAGTGAAATCAATTTCCACAAAGTGCACTTACATATTATGGCCTTGTGTCCGCCTTAGTTAAGTAAAAGAAAGAGTAATATGGGTGACATAGAGAGGACACGTGGTGACTAAACTAGCTTAGCCGACCATACTGTAGTAAGTTCGATCAACACTCGGTGACCCACATTTGTGTCATTGTATCACAGTAACCCGAGTTTAATAAAATCCTATATCAAATGTTCAAAATCCAAAATTTGAATTTTGCTGTTTCGAGTTCAGTGGGGGTATTTTTAAAAGCCTAATGTTAATAAAAATTGAATTTCACTACGTAGGAATTCTAAAATTTAGCGTTTCTAAATTTGAATTTTGCCACTAGTGATATTTAAGGCTACATTTGAAAATCCAAGACCTCTAAATTTTGAATTACATACTCGGTTGTTAGGGGTCTATTTTCGAAAGCCCAATTCAACTAAATTTTGAATTTAGCTATTTCGGACTAAGGGGTTCTATTTTTAAAAGCACGGTGATAGTAAATTTTGAATTTCGCTATTTCGAACTCTGATGGGTATTTTTTGAAATCCCAGTGATGCTAAATTTTGAATTTCGCTATTTCGAACTCTGAGGGCTATTTTTTGAATTCCCAGTGTTGGTAAATTTTGAATTTCTTTATTTCGAACTCTGAGGGATATTTTTTGAATTCCCAGTGTTAGTAAATTTTGAATTTCTTTATTTCGAACTCTGAGGGCTATTTTTTGAATTCCCAGTGTTAGTAAATTTTGAATTTCGATATTTCGATATCAGAGGGGTATTTTTTGAATTCCCAGTGTTAGTAAATTTTGAATTTCGCTATTGCGAACTCTGAGGGATATTTTTTGAAATCCCAGTGATACTAAATTTTGAATTTCTTTATTTCGAACTCTGAGGGATATTTTTTGAAATCCCAGTGATACTAAATTTTGAATTTCGATATTTCGAACTCTGAGGGATATTTTTTGAATTCTCAGTGTTAATAAATTTTGAATTTCGCTATTTCGAACTCAGAGGGCTATTTCCCAAATCCCCGTGTCAATAAATTTTGATTTTTGCTAATTTATACTATTGGGGTTACTCTTGAAAGTTCAATGTTATTAATTTTCCTAGATGGAAATTTCTGGGCTACATTTTTGGGGGGCTACTATCGAGAGAAAAATTCTCTAAACTTTGTAACGTTTAGCTTTCCAATATCGCCCAAATTTGTTGATCTGACATATCAGCATCTGGCTTACGCTCAAGTTTCGCTGAAAGCGTCGATTCTTGCGTCCAGAAGTTGAGATGGATTTGATTTTTACTTGGATGGGTGATCGCCTAAGAGCTTCAGATGGATTTGTGGCCTTCTTTATGTTTTAGCAAATATTATTGATTACTCACTAGGTTATACGATCATTGCTTACTAGTGTAAGACGCGAGTGTTATTATATTTCCTAAAAAAAGAGAGATTTACTTGACTCCCACTAAGTCAGGATGTGACACAAGGTCGGTTTAATGTGGATGACCCGAGCGTTTCCACTCAGGCCACTGGTCCAAAACTGGTCATAGCATGTCCAAGCTGGTCATGGCTTGTCCTAGCTGGTCCAGGCCTGAGCCGGTCCAAGCTAGACGTAGCCGTGATCGAATCTCAGCGAAAAGGCCGAGAAGCGATCCGAATTCGTCAAGAGAAGATTTTCCAAGCGAAGCTTAGATGTGGCACAAGGCTGAAATCATGGGGCACCCAGTGAGGATCGAACTCACTTTTCAGTAGTAACTGACCTAGCAAGACAAGCTCGTTAACCATTGCACCACCTCGAGGTGCCCAGTGATTTTCCAAGCGTAGCTTGGGTGTGGCACAAGGCCGAAAGTAAGAGGCACCCAGTGAGGATCGAACTCACTACTCAGTCGTAATTGTTCTAGCGAGACAAACTTGCTAGCCATTACACCATCTCGAGGTGCCCATTTCCTAAAAAAGATAAACGGTAACTGCGGTTTCTTCCTTTTTATAGAAAAGCAAAGAAGCCATTGAACCGGAAGTTGATCGTAAAAAAAATAAAGGCCTAAGGCGTTCTTTTGTAGCCTTGGGTTAGAATAACGTCCTATCATAAAAATAGTTGTAGCTGACGGCTGTAATACAAGTCGATATCTCATCAGTATCGACTGAGTAGTCCAAAAGAAAGCGTGTGATGTTGTAAGACCAGAAATCCGTAATGATTCACCGCTAAAAACATCACTGATGATGTGTGCCGGAGCTTCTGAGAGATGTATTTCACGAAATTGAATAGGCGTTTTTTTTTTTTTTAATATAAAAACCGAAAAGAAATGCTGATGTAGGGGAAGATGGGATTTTTTCCGAATTAAGAAGATTCAGTAAGAAAAAAATAGAGAAAATAAATTAAAATGATAAAAAAAAAGAAAGCAAATATTTAAAAAAAAAAATGTTAAATTGAAGAACGCCAAAAAGTTAAGAAAAAAAACAAAAACAAAACGCAAGAAAGAGAGAAATAAGAAGAAAAGTAAACGAAAAAAAAAAAAGCACGTAAAAAGGGTATTAAAAAAAGAAAGAAAGAATCGAATAATAAAAAAAAAGGAAATGTAAAGAAGTAAATAAAAAAAGAATAAAAAAAAAGTAAGACAATGGAAGGGAAATAAAAAAAAGAAAGTAAAAAGAAAGAAAACGGAACGAAAAGGAAAGTAGGAAGAATATCAGAAAAAAATTAAACTCAATAATGGCGTTGAGAATATACAGAGAAAGACAGAAAAAAAATTTAAAATAAAAAAAATGAAAGAAAGCAAACAACATTAGAATTAGAGAAGACGGAACAAAAAGAAAAGAAAAGAAAGAAAGGAAGAAAGAAAACAGAAAAAAGAAATTCAATAGATAAAAAGAAAATAATGGTGGAAAAAAAATAAGTTCAAGTAAGCATAAAAGAAAAAATATTAAAGAAAGAAAGAAAGAAAGGAAGGAAGAAAATAAAGAAAGAAAACAGAAAAAAGAAATTCAATAGATAAAAAGAAAATAATGGTGGGAAAAAATAAGTTCAAGTAAACATAAAAGAAAAAAATATTAAAGAAAGAAAGAAGGAAAGAAAGGAAGAAAGAAAGAACAGTAAAAAGAGACTCAATAGAAGAAAAGAAAAATTTAAAGTATACAAGAAAGAAAAATCATTAAGAAGGAAAGAAACAATAAAAGAAAGAAAAAAGAAAGAAAAAGAAAACAGAATAAAAGAAACACAACAGAGCAAAAAGAAAATAAATGTGGAAAGAAAATTAGAATTTAAAGTAAACAGTAAGAAAAAATCCTTAAGAAAGAAAGAAAGAACGAAAGAAAGAAAGAACGAAAGAAAGAAAGAAAGAAAGAAAGAAAGAAAGAAGACAACATAATGGAAAATTCTCCGACCCTGGAAACCTTGGATAATTTTACTTGTGGATAGGCAAATAAAGAAAAAAAAAAGGACAGGAAAATGGAAGACAACAATGTTAAAAGAAAGAAAAAACAAACAAGCAAACAAAAAAAAAACAAACAAAAAAACAAAAAAAAAAAAAAAAAAAAAAACAAAAACAAAAACAAAAAAATACGCCTCACCTGCACCGAAAGCAAAAAAGAAGCTGCGTTTTGGGTGTGATCTAATCAGATCCCCGACTCTGGAAGCCATTCGACGATTACGCTTGTGTATAAGTTCATTTCTAAAATAACTGTCGATCATCTTTGCTGTTTGTAAGTCGTGAGGCGGCAATGACGTATTGACCAGGCTGGGAAACTGTGCTGAGTCCTGATTGAAGATGATTGAGTTCAGATCACCACAATTGTAATGATGGATCAAATCGTCCGTTGTATACGGCATAGCCACTTTGCTTTTCCGGTAGGTTTCATGTTGACGAAGAGTTTGGTTCAGAGCGAATAAAACCTGCGTAATAAGGAAAAAAAATCGTTTGTGAGATGAGCTACAAATGAAAGTAAAACAGAATATTTCTTTTTCTTTTCCATTCGAGTTTATTTTTCCCTTTTGTCAGCGGTATTGCCGAAATCTTGCACGTAGGTATTTACTGAGGTTACCCCTACTCATAAGATAATTCTGGATAAATCGTCGAATCCAGAAATCATTTGTAGCCTATAAGACCGATCGATTATTAAATTACTAGCTTCTGTAAGTGCAGCCATGATGATGATGAGGAATTGGGGTTAGAAAATCAAAGATAAAGAAAAATGGACAAAAATTCGTTTGCTCAACGAAGAAAAATGATAATTGATTGTGTTATTAGTTGAAGACTTTTAAACATCATCTCGAATGATGTGAATAAGTATTAAAATATTACAAAAAAAAGAAAGAAAATCATAAGGTTCAGTGAAGAAGAAGGAGGAGGAGGTGGAGGAGAAGGAGGAGGAGAAGAAGAAGAAGGAGGAGGAGGTGGAAGAGAAGAAGAAGAAGAAGAAGAAGAAGAAGAAGAAGAAGAAGAAGGTATTATAGTTGCCCTTCACTAGTTTTTTTTCTGGAAAAGAAAGAAAGATGGAATATTAGGAGGGGGGGGAGAAAACCATGTATAGAGAGAAAAAAGGAAAGAAAGAAAGTAAAAAGAAAAGAAGAACGACTTAATGAAATAAATGAATGAATAAAGGGAGAAAAATAAAATAAAAATGAAAGAAAAAGAAAGAAAGAAAGAAAGAAAAGAAAATGAAAAAGAATGAAATGAATAAATAAATAAAAATAATAAAATAATACAAAAATAGAAAATCGAAAGAAGGAAATAAAGAAATGAATAGAAAAATAAAAAAGCAAGAATGAAAAAAAGATGGAATGAAAGAAATGAATAAAGAAAGAAAGGAAATGAGAAACAAAGTAAAAAAAGAAGGAATGAATGAAATGAATAAAATAAAGAAATAAAAAGAATGAAAAAGAAAAAAACGAAGAAAATAAAAAGAAAAAAATGAATGAAATAAAGAAAGAAAGGGAGAAAGAAAATAAAAAGAAGAGATTAATGAAATGAATAAATAGATAAGAATGCAAACGAATAAAAAGAAAGACAGTAAAAAGAAGGAATGGAATAAATAAAGTGTTGTGGTAGGATCCACCTAATTTACATAGTGGAGTACCGACCATATAAATATGGTTGGTACCGGGAAGAGAGGGAGGAATCAAGAGATTCAACAAGAGACTCTGCCCGACTGCGACTAAGTTAACCCATTCTACAGGAACGGTCTTCCCAAGAATATACCAAACTATCTGTAAATATTGTGTACACGTTCTTGTGTCAATACATTTTGTTTAAGTACATTTTGTGTTGTATTATTATTATTCCATGCTTTATTCAAGTTTCAACATAAAGTAAGAAGGAAAAAGAAGTTATTAATTAAGTAAAGAAAGAAAGAGAGAAAAAGTAAAAAAAGAAGGAATGAATTTATGAAATGAATAAATAAAGAAATAAAAAAGAAAGTAAAAAATAAAAACGAAGGAATGAAAGAAAGAAAGAAAGAAAGAAAGATAGAAAGAAAGTAGAAATAAGGAATGAAAGAAAGAAAGAAAGAAAGAAAGTGAGAAAAAAAAGGAAAAAGAAGGAATTAACGAATAAAAGAAAAGCAATGTCTACTTGAAAGTAGGAACAAAGAAAAATAGACAAAAATAGACAAAAATAGTAAAACAAAAATCATTTCAACTTTGAAAATATAAGTCTGGTAGGTTTTTAGTAAATTTCATATTTCGTTTGAACAAGGGATAAAAAATCATCATCATCATCATCATCATCGTCGTCGTCGTCATCATCATCATCATCATCATCGTCATTATCGTCAACATATCATCATCATCGTCAATATCATCATCATCATCATCATCATCATCATCCTTCATGCTTATCATAAACCAAGTAAAGAGAGAAAAAAAAAATGTCGTTAGAAACTAAGAAAAGAGATCCGAACTGCTGTGTCATATTTACTCTCCTGTATGGCAGTGAATACCGGACAATCTCTTTACAGGTGAAAAGACCTGAAGCGGCAAAGATATCTTTTCTACCGACAAATACCATAGACAATGCATGTGAGAAACGAGGAAGTTTCTTGAACGCATTATGAGGAAAGAGGGTTTCGAGAATTTAATACTCTCAGAACATAATGGAGACAAGAGACACGAGTGACCTACTAACTTTAAGTGAATGGATGGAAGAATAAGATCAAAGAGGGGGTGATAAAGGAGGAAAAAGGATACTTAGAACAACAAAAGTCAGAAAGTTATGGAGGACCATGATCACCAAAGTCCTGAAAACACATGATATATAAAATATATTTGGCAAGAAATTGGCGATATTTTTAGCAGTTTCCTGGTATTTTTACTCTGGCGGTGAATCGAAGTATAATTCGAGACAATCCATAGTGTTTCCAATCCCTCTTTTATCATTACGTCCTCTAGAAATGTTGCCTTTTTGTTATCTGTCCTAAAACTTAAACTCCGCCATCCATTATATCCTCTAGAAATGTTACCTTTTTGTTATCTGTCCTAAACCTTAAACTCCGCCATCCATTATGTCCTCTAGAAATGTTACCTTTTTGTTATCTGTCCTAAACCTTAAACTCCGCCATCCATTATATCCTCTAGAAATGTTACCTTTTGTTATCTGTCCTAAACCTTAAACTCCGCCATCCATTATGTCCTCTAGAAATGTTACCTTTTGTTATCTGTCCTAAACCTTAAACTCCGCCATCCATTATGTCCTCTAGAAATGTTACCTTTTGTTATCTGTCCTAAACCTTAAACTCCGCCATCCATTATGTCCTCTAGAAATGTTACATTTTTGTTATCTGTCCTAAACCTTAAACTCCGCCATCCATTATGTCCTCTAGAAATGTTACCTTTTGTTATCTGTCCTAAACCTTAAACTCCGCCATCCATTATGTCCTCTAGATATGTTACCTTTTGTTATCTGTCCTAAACCTTAAACTCCGCCATCCATTATGTCCTCTAGAAATGTTACCTTTTGTTATCTGTCCTAAACCTTAAACTCCGCCATCCATTATGTCCTCTAGAAATGTTACATTTTGTTATCTGTCCTAAACCTTAAACTCCGCCATCCATTATGTCCTCTAGAAATGTTACCTTTTTTGTTATCTGTTCTAAACCTTAAACTCCGCCATCCATTATGTCCTCTAGATATGTTACCTTTTGTTATCTGTCCTAAACCTTAAACTCCGCCATCCATTATGTCCTCTAGAAATGTTACATTTTGTTATCTGTCCTAAACCTTAAACTCCGCCATCCATTATGTCCTCTAGAAATGTTACCTTTTGTTATCTGTTCTAAACCTTAAACTCCGCCATCCATTATGTCCTCTAGATATGTTACCTTTTGTTATCTGTCCTAAACCTTAAACTCCGCCATCCATTATGTCCTCTAGAAATGTTACCTTTTTGTTATCTGTCCTAAACCTTAAACTCCGCCATCCATTATGTCCTCTAGAAATGTTACCTTTTTGTTATCTGTCCTAAACCTTAAACTCCGCCATCCATTATGTCCTCTAGAAATGTTACATTTTTGTTATCTGTCCTAAACCTTAAACTCCGCCATCCATTATGTCCTCTAGAAATGTTACCTTTTTGTTATCTGTCCTAAACCTTAAACTCCGCCATCCATTATGTCCTCTAGAAATGTTACCTTTTTGTTATCTGTCCTAAACCTTAAACTCCGCCATCCATTATGTCCTCTAGAAATGTTACCTTTTTGTTATCTGTCCTAAACCTTAAACCCCGCCATCCATTATGTCCTCTAGAAATGTTACCATTTTGTTATCTGTCCTAAACCTTAAACTCCGCCATCCATTCACTCAATCTCTCTAAGTAAGCCATGCGCTGTTTTCCGCCGTCCCTCTTGCTTTCAATCTGTCCTGTGAGTATCAAATTTTTCTAGCCCTCTTTTCTCATTACATACGCTAGAAATTTAAACTGTGTCTTGCTATGTTAAATATGTCACCCACCCCCATTTTCTTCGTTCATGTTCAGTCCATGGCCCGTCCTAGGTATGACGATAAACTACATCCGGCAACAAAGTCTTTGATCGGGAGCTTTTGAGGAGCGTGGAACCACCTCTTAATTGTTGCTGTTCCCCGGTCCTCCCTGACCCGTGTTGGTAGCATCTGTTAGTGTCCAAGCTATGGGTAAATATTGAACCCCCAAACTGGGGTCAAAACACTATGAAGGTATAAAATACATTTTTATAGTAAAAATGCCAGCAATAGGTTTTAATAGTAAAACAAAAATGACCAAAGCTCCCCCAAAAATTAAATTTTTGCATTAAATGACACATAAGGTGTTGATATGCTGTTAAAGAAAGAGTTCATAGTAATCTCAGTATCCTTCTGTAGAACCACATTTTTGCTGCCTGAAGTCTCTTAAAACTGCCTAGAATTCATTGTAGATTCAAGAGTAACAGACCAGTACACTTTTCTTTGTTTCTAACGGCATTTTCCTGTTTCCTAATACTTTGCTTAACTTTTAGAAGGCATCTTTCGCTATCCCAACGCACCTTCGGGTGTTGGTGTCACAGACGGAAAATGCGACACGGAAATACTGGACACGAGAGGATAAACTTACGCAGGTTCTACTTCAGGCTCACGCCTTTTAATGGAACCAACATCCGCATTTATAAACTTTAAGATAATCAGGCACAAGAACATATTAATGGTACTTCCAGTGAGGATCGAATTCTTCAAGCGAAGCTGTGAGACTAACTTTCTCACCGTCGCTCTCTGGCACCCACCCAAAAGCAACTAATTATATCAAAAAGCCAACTGAAAGTACTTTCGTGTTCGCCAAAAGATTGGCGCCAAGGAAGGATCTAATTCTGTCATTTACCCCTACACAGACACACGCACAGTATAATTCACCTACCACTACACAGATATACACACAGAAACATATATATATATATATATATATATATATATATATATATATATATATATATATGCTAGCGGCTTGTTCTGTGAGATTTATCTCCGTGCCAAAATTATAAAATGGCACCCAAGGCGAAATGACGTTATCTTTTCTGGATAGAAATGTATAAAATTAAAAGAATGGTCTCGTCGTTCTGGTTTTCAAAAAAAGTAGCAACAAGCCTGAATTGCCAAAATTAAAAAGTCGTTCTTCCCAAAATTAAGTCAAGGTTACTATTAATCTTATCAACGAGGACGATAAAAAAATATATATATATACAGTGTAACCCGGATATAAGAGACCCGGATATAAGAGAAACCCGGATATAAGAGAGATTTTCTCTGGTCCCAAATTAGAGCCTGTGTTAATGTATATAAAATAGACCAAACCCGGATATAAGAGAAACCCGGATATAAGAGACTTCTTCTCCGGTCCCGAGATGAGTCAAAGCACTATGAAAGTATAAAAATAGGTCTTAATACCAGCAATATTTATTCTAGAATATTTTTTACCAGTAATACATTTTGAAAAAAAAATGTTAACAGCAATATATTTTTTTAAAAATATTACCAGCAATAAAAATCTTGTCGCCATTAAATAACCTATTGAGGTTGATATGGCGTAAACCAAACCAAATCAAACCAACATAGTTAAATTTCATGATAATAAAATCAATGTACACAAAGAGACCCCTTGCAATCCTAACGCTTGAGGAACGGCTAGGGAAATATTTTTTTTTAATCAATTCACACCAAGCAAGGCGTAAGACGCAAGGGGCTTGTATTAAAGAAAGAGAATGAGAAACTTTAGACGGAACCGGAAACCCAGTCTTAAACAAGAAAGAAGGGATAAATATCTACTCCTGTTCAAAAGGACGGGAAGGGGTGTGAACCGGACAATAGACAAACGTATCTACTATTGAGGAAAAAAATGGAAATAAATAGTAAATAAAATTTCAGAGCTTAGGTGGAGACGTTAGAAGTATAGAGTTGAAGTAGACATTAGAAAGGAACCGGAATTTCACCCCAAATAAGGAGATGAACCACTGAGAAACAAGGGTTTACTTTGATGTCACTCAGAAGAATCCCTTGAAAAAAAAAATCTGCAAATAAAAAAAAAAACATAAAAAAAACTTATAGTTCCAATTCCAGTAAATAATTACAAATGGACAGCAAAATAAATTTGTATTTACAGCGAGACCCCGCCTATTCGCGTTTCAGCATTCGCGGCTTCACATATTCACGGATTTTTCTTTAAAACATATCTACCTGTTATTCGTGGAAACCCCGAATATTCTCGTGTTTTTCTGAATAACATATGTACAAATTATTCGCTGAGAACTCCCTCGATTCGCGTATTTTTTTTCGATAGAACATATTTAAAATATTTTTGTATTATTTTCCTAAGTGACTTAAAACGTTTAACAGTCCATTTTTATAGCAAAAAATGGCAGAATTGTACATCTTCATCGTAAAAAACAAATGCAACAACATGCGTAGTGCTTGGGCTTTGTTCTTTGTTAGGGGCTGCGACTGGGGTCTTAAAAATGGCTTATGCTAAGTCTGAGGGCATTATTACAGTTCTGTATTAAGAAAATGTTTTAAACTTTATATTTTAGGTCTTGTTACACATATTTTATACAGTATTTTCAATAGTTGTATTGATCTA